AATACCTATACAGGTACTCACGTCATGACATGTAGTCACTTATAATATTAAACGTATTTGGTTTACAAAAACCAACGCTGCAGTGATGTGTTTCAAGTGTCGCTCGATAACTATACGGTAGTGCAATTTTGTATCGCCGACTTAGACTTAATATATTTTAACGAAATGTATGTAATTGTATAATGTAACATCTCTGCAATAAATGTATATAATAATTATTTTTATAATTCAATTTTATAAACGTTATATTGTTGCTCCGTGTATGTAGATAAGCGTTGTCTGTATATATTATAAACTATAACAGTAAAAGCACAAACGAGAAACCTAAAAAAAATGTTAAAGCTTTTAGCTTTGATACATTTTTAAAAATAATATTAAAATTTTTCCCAACAATACACAGAAACTTTCCATTGCTGTACTAACAGTATCTTTATTTCGTTCCTTATAACTACACTAAAAAAGAAGAAAATCTTCTTTGAATTTTCGTCTTAGTTTTAATATTTCAACTAATCAAAAATAATAATGTGAAGGATGAAAGTAATATACGTATGTTCAAAATGTCATTAAAAAAAAGTTTACAGGTAATAATTAATAATGAATAATACATAAATGTGTACCATTTATTATGTTTCTGCATATGTATAATAAACTGTGCAATATATATTCAATATTACTTATTATCTAATAATAACAAATAAATTTTGTAATAAGTAGTACCTACTTTTTTTCAGATGCATATATTTACTGCTTGTCACAACTATTTTTAAGAATATTATTATTGTTATTGCTGTTTTAAAGATATCTAATAAAGTTATTGTTATTTTTTGAGGTATGTATACCATGAAAAAATGTTCACCTTTCAAATTCGCTCAAATAAATAAATTTATTCACAGAAGTTATTGAGGCCACTTCTTTTGTTTTCTCTTGGATAATTATTTATGTATGCGGGTAATAATAATATATTCATCAAAGTCAACTGTCAATGAATGTAATTAATATTAGCAGTAATTGTACATCGCCTGTAACCTGTAAATATGTAAATATTATATTAGCATATTATTATCATGCATGTGTACACACATCAAGTCAATAATGATAAAAAACAGATTTGTTGTTTTATAAATTAAATTTGTCAAATATTAGATACTAATAAATTATATACAGTATCAAATATCAATCATCAAAATATTGTAATTATTTTGTACTTCTATATTTTTGTAACATACAAAATACTACAAAATATTTAGGTGCGATATATACTTTTAGTGTTATTTAATACAATACTATTGTCTATAATATAATGTTATACAATTATGTTGTACGGCACTATCTGCGTGTATAATTGAATGTATAAACTGTAAACGTCACAGTATTTTCCCGTAAAACCACGTGAAGTTAGAAAAAATAAAAACATTTTTTATGATAGAATAGTGAAAGACGTCATAATAAGTGTTTTAACGGGTGCATAACGGTGGTATTCTGCATTTTCTGAACCATATTTTAATATAATGATATTAATTTTGGTCTCGATAAAAGATAAATTATACCTACATTAAAACTCACCAAGAGACAGTGAATGTCAGTCGTATACCGGCCTCGATGTTTGTTCTACTTCACGTCGTCCAAGCCGTGAAACACTACTGATGGACCGAACTGGATAAAGACGGCGACGAGACCGGACGCGGAAATAGCTGCCTCTTCACTACTCGTTGGTTCGTAGACGCAAAAACGATCCACTCGCAAAATTTGGTCTGTAGTTTGCCGCATAGACTCAGATCTCAGACATCAGACTGTCTGTGAGTCTGTGACCATAATTTAATTGTGTTTGTCTGAGTTTTATCATCTCGAAACCAACTGACAGTTTTCTCGTTCATCTTATTATATTATTTAAAATATACATAGGTGTATAATGTATTAATGTGCATTATCGTTTTTATTCCTCGCTAGTTAAACACTAAAACGTATAATCCCGTATGGCCGTGTGAACATACATTTAATGGTATGTGTTACATTTCACCCACAAATGATGGCGATTGCACAAAAGAACAAGGATGCTGGCGGGAGCTTGAACACACCCAACTTAAATTTATACACCCCAAGTTCCTTGTCTATATAATTGAAAATACGTACCTTGTCTTAACAAATGTGATTTAATTTTTAAGAATTTAAATTAACTTAATTCACTTCACATTTTTGCTCTTATTTTGCATTCCAATTGTATTTTATTATTAATATTGTGTTAAGCTCTATATTTTATTGCTAGGGCTAGGGTACTACTGATTATAGAGAGTTTGATATTTCGGGAGGGCTCAAGCCGTTCAGCCCCCTAACTACGTTACTGTAAACACATATTATGCTGACCTAAACGCAGAAAGTTTTGCTTAACAATCTATAAATATAAAAATGAGTATAAGTTTAGCCATCTAAAAGGCTTACAGACTTCAAAACAACAAATTTAACACATAGGTCCATTACAGTGACTTACTCAATGACGAGGTTGAATCGACACTTACTGAACATCAAAGTGGTTACCTACTTTCCCCTTTTTAAATTTTTTTTTTTACTTTTGAGTTTTGATACATTTATGTTTTTTTTCATAGTTGAAGCTCTAAATCGAATGTAAAAATCATGAGCTTTCGGTCTCTCAAATATTATTCATTTTTTTTTTCATTTTTAAAAGCGACTGTATAGTGGAGTTTATTTTAATGTTATATAATTCGAAATAAAAATGGTATAAGTATTTAGTATAAGGATAAATGTTGAAGGATTATTAAGTTGTATATTAATAATAATGCCGTACAGTGTACGTAACATTTGGATTTTATATTACCATACCAATGTATAAGATGTCTAGTATTCTTCCATTTGTACCGAAATATAACGTTCTAATAAAACCATTAAAAAGCTATAAAGTTATCACGTAAAAGAGCAAAAAACAAATTGGAAAATATTGTATAAAATACCTTTTTCGATTCAGTGCCCTATTTTAAGCATAGGTATACATACATGCGCTGAAATGTTTCGTTTATAAAGTTTTGAGTTGCAGAGAGAGAAAAAAAAACTCACTTGAATGGGATTATTAAATTTGGTATGAAAGGTGGTTCCCGTATGATTTTTTGTGCCATTAATCATTCGTATTAACATACTAGGCAGAGAATTTGTTTTTATCCTCAATTTCGTAACACGTCGAAAAATTAAAAAGCGCAACGTTCTGGCATTCAGAAAAATATATACATCACCGTGTAGAAAAAAAACATGAAAAATTCCAGCGGTGTTCTCACACAACCACATAATGTAATATAAATATAAATACTTAATATAGGTATGATCAAGGTAAGTTAACTTTATTTTCAAGAATAAAATATATATTTATGCATTGATTAAGCACCTATAATACATGTTATGATAAGTAATATCATGATGATAACTGCGTTGACGTCTAAAACATACAATAAATCAGACGGAATATTTTTCATTAAGACGATACGAGTAGTAATTTAAATAAATAATATTGCTAATGCACTTACTGAGCTCGTAAAGTTTTCGTAGTACCAAAATACACCATTAGTTAAAACAACTTTACGACCAAAACATAAAATAATACATCAATGTTAACGATAACGTAAAATGGGGTAATGTTAATTATTTTATATTACCATCGTGTAATATTATTTATATAATATTCCATAGTAAAAGTTACTTTAATAATTAAAAAAATTAAATCCACCCAAGAACAACATAAATTGACGATTTTATACACTTATAAATTAGGTATAACACTGTATAAGCTTACTTACAGAATAAAGATTTTACGTATCAAATAAAAATATACATTACTACATATTATATTTCAGTTATAACTACAGTTTTGCTTGTTTCACAACGATTAACAAAACAAAAGGCTGTTTTAATTGACTGGACTGTTATAGTCTTGTAATATTTTTTAACTTATAGTAATCTTTTTCTATTAAACAATTCAATCTGTTCTAGAATCTGAATAAAATTGTAATATACAATCCAAAGTAAATAATACACTATATAAGTACCTACTATACAGTAATAATCATAGTGTGTTGTATACTAGTATGATATTTAATGTTTTAATTATCATTTATACATACAATTTTAGTTTTAATAAATAATTATACCATCAATTTCTCAACGTGTATAATATTATGATCTCGTCTTGGGTGCTTGAGTTTTCAAAACAATAAAATACAGCACACATTTTGACAATCTTATAAGTACTAATTTGATCTTCCCTCAGTTTTAAGAAATAGTTTATTATTATATAATACTTTACTTAAACTATTTATAAAAATATATTAACTTATAACTATCAACACTTATTCCCAAGTTTGAACTTATTTATTGCTAACAGTGAATCAATCATATTCACCGAATTACTAATGAATTATGAAATGATAATGATAGGTATTACTAATAATAGGTATGAAATAATAAATCAAATCAATGTATGTATTGATATCATAACCTAGTATTGAACTATATTATCACTAAAACGTTATAATTAAACAAATATGAAATAGACAATTATCGCCGGGTTTTAAAAATTGATAAGCACCGGTAAACTATAGTATGCATAATACAAAAAGTCTGAGCGACCTATAAGGTTGAGAGATTATAATATACACCGAAATCTTTCTGGGTATTTAATACATAAGTAACAGAGCGTCAAACAACTAATTTCCAAATCTAATTTCAACGAACAATGGGAAAAAATGTAAGGACGGATAATTAATAATTGTTATCTACATAAGGACTAATGCGAGATGGCTTTCCGAAGTTTGTATAAATTATGTATAATATATGGGCCAACGACAGTTGACCAGTCAGCTGTACTCGTATAGATGATCACCAACGCTACCTATACATATATACCTATATTCAAACATAATGTACATTACCAACATGCATAATCAACCATATAAATTATAATAGTAATAATCCACATACCTGTGTGCCATGGTGGACGGCGGTCGGTTATCGCGTTGGAATTTTTTCGTTTTTTCGCTTGTACGGTTCGCACTCGCTCTGTATACACACCTCGTTATGTATAAAACGGCTGCCAATATGATCACATTAATATTAGTTAGGTGCAATGTATGGCGGTGGTGTGACACGATGTAACCGGCCTCAGGTGGAGGGACGGACTGCAGTTCTGCTCGGAAGAGTAGGAGAAAAGACAAAGACCTTTTTTGTCACGGAGCGAAATCACCACCACTGTACCACGAACAGTGTCGCACGTACCGGTCTCGAGAGCGGATACGACTCCTCATCCCGCGCACGCGCGTGAAATCCACTGCGTATTACATTATACCTAATCGGTTTGAGAAACGACATTAATAGGTAACTAATATACAAACGGTCGACGGACATGGATAGTGCAAGATCCGCACGCCACTCGTTGGCAGTGGCGACGATAGTCGGGCTGATCGCGCTGAGCTGTGCGGCCGCGGTGGGCGGCGGAACCGGACCGAGTCCAGGTAACACCGCCGCCTCCGGCGCGTCGTCGCTACTGACCAAATTACCGCAACCGCAGTTACCGAAATTTCCGGTGATCTATACGTACGGGAAACACCGGTCGCCGCGGCCACCTACGACGAATCCTCCGACTTCTCCGGGCAACAAACAGCAACAGTCGCAGCGACCACCTCAGCAACAGCTATCACAGCAACCATCCAAGCCGCAGCCACAGCAACCATCCAAGCCGCAGCCACAGCAATCATCTAAGCCACAGAAGCGGCCGCAAAAACCGACGGTGGACGAACGGCCGGGTGGACGAGATCCGTACCAGTCGTCGGCAAACGCATCCGTGACGACTTCGCCGAGACCGAAATTGGAGACGACCACCCAAGACCGCGCCATCATCACGGTGCCTTTAAAAGCTTGCCCCGATGGTCAACGGATGGGCCCCGACCGGAACTGCAGACCGGACTTCCCCGACCCCGAGGGTGACCAATCCAAATAGTCGACCGACCGAACTACGCCACTATTAAGTGAATGCACTATGCTTCGATACTGCAATTATTTTTACTCGATTTATTTTACAGGCATATTATTGTTTATACCATCCTTTACTAAGTGTAATATATACGTCATAATCATATCATATAAATGTATTGATATTTTGTTTATATTCAGTGTAACCCACGCTTTTTCAGTTCAAAAACGTTTAAGCATGACGAATTATAAATGAACGAAATAAAAAATTTTAATCACTAGAATTTTGATAACAATTTATTGCCATATCACTATCGCCTACAACAAGTCCTGCACGACACTGCCGTTTCCGAATATTCTGCAAACATTCCAGTAGGTAATATACAATATTCACGTTCCATTGGCCGTGGTTTTCAAGGCGTACATCAATTAATAATCAAAGTCGTTATTAAATTTAATCCAAAGTAAATCCCCTTCCCCCCCCCCAAAAAAAAAAAAATCAGCTAATAAATATCCGCTTGCACCTTGTGCATGATTATACATTAAAGTTTACTATGCATCTAGGACCCTCGTCTGCACGATTATTATAAAATAAATCTTATAATATTAGAACTACCGACTGGCCAAACATGGAATAATAAAAGTACACTGCAGTTTTGATACCCGCTGGTGCACTCAATGACACGCGCTACTCCAACTATTTCAAGGTTCATTATACGCACACATATATGACGTATATTTGCGTACTACGATTCGACTGCGACGTCGTTCGTGAAAATCGTCATCCGACAATAATGACATAATCTTTACGGCGGGACGTCACTACCTTCGTGCAGTTGCCGAATCGGATTCTTAGAAATCATTTTCAGAGTGTTGACGTAGGTACCATATTGTATACAATAACATTCAACGTGTTTAAAAATACGTATTCAAAAAACCCAGCAATGTGTTGGGAACAAGCAATGTTCCATGTGCAAACTGTACAGCCCACATGCGGTGGTGACAAAAAAAGCTTACAAATATCTGTAGATGGTTCTCAGGTCTGGAATACCCCCACCTCCCCTCACTAAGAGACATATGACAGTATTGGCATTAAGTTGTAGACTGTATTTGATGTTAATGTAAATATTGCAATAATAATATTTGACAATATTAAATAGGTTCAAAACAAAAATGTATATATTATAATTTATAATTTGGAGACGAGAATATCCAGAAAAGTCTAATCGTTCTACACTAGCCTGTTCTGTGGTAATGTTAACTACATATTGTAATGTATATCAGTACAAATATTTCTGCGACATCTTTGTAGTATTGCGATCTATATTGGCCATGTGATATTCATCAATTTATAATCTCATAAAAACCAAACTCTGTAAATTATTATTAAAACGTGACTTTTTAAAATTAATTTTGAATATTTTTCTAAACCCACATCACACAAACGTACGCTGATTTTATTTGGTTTGATTAGAGTAGTATACTTTACGTCTAAACTATATTTTTTTTCAATCAAATAAAAAATTAAGAAAAAAATATAGATACGTATTGTGTTTGATAATACATATCTGCAACAATAACTCAGTTGAGTTACAGTATTTTATAACATTTATGAAAAAAAAATGAATATTGTAAATTATATTAACCATTTAATATAGCCATATAGGTAACAGTCGTTATGATTTTACACGATTACCTGTATATTATAATATGAGCTCGCCAAACAATGAAGAGTAACAATATATTTTGTGACGCATCCAATTCGGTGTATTCATCAGCTAGGTATGTATGTCTACTTTGATTTCATTTTTTAGCGATGGATTTATAAATATCTTTGTATATCAGTTTATAGTTTCAGACAACTAAAACAAGTGATAAATGCAATGCAATATGTACTCCTAAGATTTGATTAATTATGGCTATAACAATATATCCACGAACAAACCATCTGAGTGAAAATAATATAATAATAAGTCATTTAACATTTAAGATTAATTATAGCAGATAATTCTATGACGTGATTGAGAGTTATAAGTTATAACTACAAGGTTATAGACTATAGTGTAGTTGAATTAGGAAAGTTTATAATATGGTAGTAACAAACATTCTTATTATAATAATACTTACAAAAGTTGATTACAATCGTAGATAAAATATTTTAATGCTCAATAAAAAGAAAATAATATACAGAGACGCAAAATACTATGACAAATTTATTGTTGACAAGAAATTTTATTTTCTACATCAACAACATTTATCTAAATGTTTTTATAATTTTTTTTTTTTTTTTTAATGCCATTGGAAGGAGGTTTAAAAGGGGGGGGGTACTCACCAAAACTTAGCACAGATAAAAATAAATACTACTTACAATATATCATTATAGCATAAGAAAATTTATTTTAAAACATAAATAAGTTGATATTTTTATTTTGTTTTATTATTTGATAAACATATTATGAACAGAAGCTAAATGTTGAAAACATATTACATATTCCTTTTCAGTACAACGAGTTTTTTAAAAATAAATTTAGGTAAAATATTTAATATAATGTTTAATGATGTAAGATAGTATATAGTTTGAAGGGTATGCTTTATTTTTGGCACTGTTAAATTATACCTATTCCGAATGCCCTCTTGCTTGAATGATTTTTATTTCATAATCAAAAAAGCAATTGTATTTGATTTCCTGGCCGTTCTTACTTGATTGGAATTTACAAAATTATTAACAAGTCTTAGTTTACACTTTCTTTTATCTATTTTTCATCTTTTTTTTTATATTATAGAAGTATTGAGGATTAACATAAGCGCCTATATATCCTAGACGATGTAATAGAAGGAAATAAATAGTATATCAAATAAAAGCGTCAAACAAACAATTTTTAATAAACAAACCCAATATAAATCTATTAATGAGTTTATTGTATTTCTAATTTTACTTAATATTAATTATTGATAATTATTAGTATTTCGTAATTCTTTAATAATACAATAAAAACACATAAAAAAATAATGAAAAACAACAAACCTATAATGTTTTTCTAATTTTACTTTTATTTATTATTTACAGTTTAGAGTAGGTACTTAGTAATAAATTATAAACAATTATTCATTTGATTATATTGGCATAAATATTGTAATGAGGTAATATTGGTATAAATTGTCAAAAATACTGCATCAATTAAAAAATTCAACTGCCATAAACTAAAACCACAAGCTTCCGTGCTTTAGATTTCAGAAATGTGAAGAATGCACCGATGGCATATTATAATAACAAAAAATGGATAGAAATAGAGAACATCCTGTGTATAATACAGGACAGGTTATAATAGGTATACATAGTACAATTTTATAAAAATAATTTCAACGTAGATCATGATAGACTATATAGTTACATTTTAGTTATAGAAACCTTCTAATTGGATAACCACTTGCTTTTTTTACATGATGCTTTTTTACACATAACTATAAAAACAAAAACCATAGTGAAAATGTTTTTTTTTAAATATTCTTAAAGGTATATATAATAACCTACCCTAATTATTACTTCAAACATCTACCGCTCTACCAATTCACCAATTTGTACAAAAACGCTAGCATTTTTAGTTGTATATTATAATAATTATTAATCACCAACCACATTATGTTGTATAATGCATATTATATTATTCATTGTAATTTGGAGTATTATAATTGGGTACAATCTGATACTATAATTTAAACTTAATATTATGCATTTCCTTGCCAGTAAAAACGTATGGCGAGGTTAATATTATTAAATTAATATAAAATGTCTGCATTTTTTCCAACCACCCCACTTACCTCTAAATAATTGATTGACTATGTATCCTATCCGGTTCACCAATTTAATTTTTTTCTTTTGCATGACCAAACTACTAACCGTGAACTATTGTGTCCACATGATCTGAAGATTAAATTCGAAAACCCCTAAAGCCTGTAGTAATACAAGTAAAAATAACAATATCATACCTAGGAACATGATTATATTTAATACCTCTCTAGATAAGGTAATTAAACTATTATATTACTGAAAGCGGGACAAGTGCCAGTTACTATTTCTTATAACTTATAAGTAAAAGAAAAAATATTTATCTGAAAGAAGTAAATTATATTCGAATTTCAACCCTGAAGCAAATAAATCAGATAGTCTTTTACCAATGTAATAACTACTAATAAATAATTAATTGAAAAAATGAAGAATGCTTTTTTGAGAAGAGGTGGCAGCTCAAACTACTTCATGTGCAATTTTATACATTGAAATTATTTCATATACAGTAATTAATACAACTATAAATTATAAACAATATATAACAATATAACAATAACGATATTCAAGGGGCTTAATATAGGCAATTTTGATAAAAACAAAAAGAAAATTGAACTATTTCAATATTATGTTTCTTGAAAGACAATAGATGACTGTTAAAGTTTAGATGAGCGAAATAGTGGACCACTTTTTTTTGGGATGACCGCTTGCCTACTCTACTCCACTCATCTAAAACTTTAAATTTACTTAAAACTCATTAACTACTGTTCACAACTTTGATTTGTATGTACCTAAATAAAGTATATAATTCGAATATTAATATCTTATTATAAACAAAGTAAAACTATAGGTGTAAAATAATACAGAAATAAACAGCAGGACAAAATATTGTTTGTATACTATATCTTCGAGTACAAAAACCGTATAATATACCTTTGATCTGCTCCGCGTAATGTATTATAATTTATAATATAATGCAAATATATAATAAACGCAATATATAAACGCAATTTTTAGATACGATTTTTAATCTTATTAGCGTCGAATCGATTCTGCCAACGTTGTTTTTAAATGTAATAGCCAGCATGTTTTGATGTCATTCAATTAAAATTTCACTCGCATTTTAATCGGGTTATGAATAACAGATCGATTTTAATTAAAATTGATGTTACTGTATGAAACTATATTTTTGTTGTTTTTTTTTACAACGGATATGTACTAGGTATATTTAGACAATCCCTGGTGATTCATAATTAGAGGTAAAATACTCATTATTTTCAAAATCCATTAATGTCTTTAAAAATATTTTTTTTTACAAAATTTAAGTTGTAAAAAAAATATATAAAAAAATAATATTTTTTAATATTTCTTTAATGACAACATACATTTATATACATTTGTACTTCTTATTTCAAAGAATAATATTTTTAGGATTTTACTTCGATATTTCAAAGTATTGATGTGTGGAGTCAAATGGTACAGCAGGAATACCTCGGAAAA